TGATATTTTTGCTTTCCATATTATATTAATTGTCTGCTCAAGTGCGGGTGTATTTCATCTAATATCCTTTCTTTTTTAAGGGTGAAATGTTAGTTTTCTTATTGCATCTTCGTGATGGTTTCTTTTCTAAATAGTTGGGACAAAAGTTTTGTTGAGTTGAGTTGAGTATCTTCATGCACGGTGGTTTGCCATCCTCAGTCCAATAAACCTAAAACTTGGTTGTTGGTTTGTCTGAACCTAAATTCAATATCTTCAAAAGATGATTTGGGCTTGCTCCCAAGTCCATTAGAAGGCCCAAACCCAGCCCAAGAATCCACTCCTAACCAAACCCACCCGTCTGCCCGTCAACTCAAATGGGAAAATTTAAACCCTTATCTAAATTTTTTGAAACTTAACCNCCCCCAAGTCCATTAGAAGGCCCAAACCCAGCCCAAGAATCCACTCCTAACCAAACCCACCCGTCTGCCGTCAACTCAAATGGGAAAATTTAAACCCTTATCTAAATTTTTTGAAACTTAACCCAAAAAAGTTGGAACATTAATTTCATCAAATTAATATTCAATTTCATTCAATTAACATTCATATATATTTAGTTAACATTCAATTCATAAAATGAACATTCATTTTTCATCAAATTAATAATAAATTAATGTTTAATTCATCAAATTAATAATAAATTAATATTTAATTATTTTATTTTATCCCCTAAAATTTTAATCATAATATCCCAGATAGTGTTATCAGAACTGAACTAGACCGGTCAGATCGTGAACCGGGGCCTATACCGGTCCGGTTCTTGAGTTGGACCTGCATAGGCAAGGGAACCATCTTCAAACCGTTAAATTGACCGATTTTTTTGAAAACCTGTGAACCGGAGGTTTGATGCAAACAAGCGGTTTCATGCAAAAAATATAGGGTAAATTACATCTAGATTCCCTAAAATTTATTATTTAATCAAACAAACCCCTTCATGTTTGACATATATTAAGACTCTTTTAAGGTATGTGTAGGTGTAACACATACATCCTTCTCGTTTAGAATCCATTAGGTAGGTTGTTAAAAGTGAATAACATCAACATATTTTAATCTAAAATTCCTAAGTTACCATTGAATAATTTAAAATAAAATCCTTATAAACATAATATTTTTTAAATTCTCATTATTCTCCCATTACAAACCACCACCATCACACTAAAACCTAATTTGCTCCCATTGGCCACCCTAAACCCATCCAAGTCTCCACCACCATTCACTCATGGTCTAATGCAATCGCGTCACACACGTTTCACCATCCAAACAACGCCACACACGCTCCACCACCAACCACTCGTGGCTTTGTTGGGTTTGTGGTGTACTAGTCTTTGTGTGAGATGTTTGCAGTGGTGGAGTTGGGTCTTATTTCGAACACAATCAGTTTAATGAAGTTAATTGTTGGGTAATTGAAAAAGGATGAGAGGGTGGAAAACATTCGACAGATGTGACGTAGAAACCATCAACAATATTCCTCATTCGCTCCACAGTTCTATATATATTAGAGAGAGAGAGAGGGAAAGAGATGGAAGAATAGGGACAAAGGTGGTCTATTCCTCCTTGCATACACAACTCTTACAAATTTATAGAGAGAGTGTGTATAGGTAGGCCCTCAAAAACAACCAAATCAAGCCAATAAATAATCTCCTTCAGAATCAAGAAACAAAATCAAAAGAATCTGAAGAACACAAAAACACTACAACAATAAAGAATGTTCAAGAAGTTTACTCCCATATGTCAAGGATTTCTACAAAACTTGAAATTTTGCTAATAAACTAACTACCAAAATAAATTATCAATTAGACTGTTGGAACCAAACAAAAAAAAATTAGACAGTTGGAGAGTTTTAGCAAAACTCAAAGAGAGAGAGAGTGAGAAGAAAGTGGGGACGGAGGTGACCTGAGATTGCCTATTGGAGGTAGCTCTATTATTTCTAAAAGAGAAGGCAACTGATTGTATTTTATGAAAATGATGTTTTAGACAAGGTTAGATTTATTTGGTAATTGGGTAATGTAATCCAGGTTTGTTTTGTTTGGTTTATTTGTGAGGACAATTTAGTCATTTTGTCACTTCTGTTAGTTCCACCTGGAAGCTGTTATTATTAGGGGGTCTCAATGTAATATGTCAAACGTGAGGAGATCTATCAGATTAAGTGACAAACCTTAAGGGGTTTGGATGTAATTTATCCAAAAATATAATATTGAAAAAAATCCCTCTTTAATGTCCTTTGAAAAACGAGACTATTTAAAAATATTGAATATTTTTTGACGAAATTGAGAAAATTAATAGTTAGAGGATGAAAGTGTTATTAATCCATTGTTAAATTACGATCAATCGCCACTAGTTACGGTTGATCGTATTTTATTTATTTTGTTATAAGTTTTTTTTTTTGGGTTACAACCTTTTGGGGTTACAACTATTTTGGGCGAGGGTTATAACATTGCTGGATGTTCCAATTTTTGGGTGGATTCTAACTTTTTTGGAATGAGTTCTAATTTTTTTGGGTTGAGTTATAATTTTGTAACGAGATTATAACTTTTTAGAGTGAGTTATAACTTTTCTGGATTGGGTTGTAACTTTTGGGTGGGGTTAAAATTTTTCTAGGTTGGGTAGGAGTTACAATCTTTGGGGTGGGTTCCATTTTTTCTAGAATGTTACTTGATGATGCACAAAAATGTTTATGCAAAATCAATCAAGGATGAAATAAAGAGGGTTCAACACAAGCAAACACAAAAATTAGATAGTTTGGTCTCTGTGTGATGCTCTATGTGTAGGCGGAGCTTACAAATTTATAAGCCAGTAAAATTGGCTCCGAGAGGCTCTGATTGAGACATCATCCTCGTAACTGATTTCATGAAGCTTGCCTTGTCTTGTAACGTGTGATGTGATCTCGCGAGATTGACGATATGTTGCTGATGACTGCGTCCTCAAAAATTCCCTCTCCTCGGATGGAGATTCTCACGTGTGTTGATAATGGGTTAGGCCTCTCAAGAAAGTGGGCTTAGCCCAACTGGAATTCTGATTGAACCTTTATTAGTTTATATCTGTGATTTAGGTCTGGTCTAGATCAAACCCGTCATGTATTGGAAGAGTACTACAATTTTTTTGGATATGTTATAACTTTTAGGGTTAAGTTATAATCTTTTGGGGTTACAACTATTTTTAGTTGGGATACAGTCTATTGGGTGGTTGTCATTTTTTTGAGTTATAACTTTTTCGGTTCCAATATATATTGGTTTCATTGATTATTTAATTGTTTTAGTGGACACATAAAATGTAAAGAATATCACTTATTTTTTTGGTACTATACGAAAAAATAAGTTGACGGTACTGAAATGAAATCCAAAGCTGCAATAAAAAGAGCTTTGTTCAAAAGTAATTGGAATGATGAATCAGTTTGTGTTCTTATTTAATATACGAATTCAGAGCTTTAAATATCTCAGTCATCTTGTAAATGGTACTGCTTTAGAGGGTTGTCAAGGGCGAGTACCAAACTCACATCTTGGCTAGAGAGCGGAAGTACAGTTAGGTGGCTAGGAATTCTCTTTCCTTCTACGCCAGCCATTGTCTTTGTCTCTATGCTGTGTGGATTAAGTACATGACTCAACCCATGAGAGTTGTTGTGTTCAGTGACCAATAAATTTCCACACATCAACCCTGGACTTGCCCTTCAAATTCAGCTTGACCTCAGATGGGAGGGAGAAAAGTCAGCTTGACCTGATACATATAGATCACCAGATTTTTGAAACATAATTTTCTTCGCACCCGTGATGATTTCATCTTTCTCGTATGGATCGAAGCGAAATTTGAGTTTTCAATTAGCAGAGCATTAGTTAGGTCATTTTCTTGCAAGAAAATTAACACGCATTTTTATATTTTTTTCGATTGCTCTGCAGTATAAGACTCGTATAGAGCCGCGCCCTTTTAATATGATGAGAAAAAGAGTGACTGTTTTCTTTTCTTTTCTGAACTTTCAAAATTAGGTCCAAGTTGTTTAATTTACTTTTGTTGGAGCTAAACAATTTCTTTAAAAAAGCCGTAGTATGTTCATGAAACCCTTCTTTGTGAATAAGCAAGCACTATGTGTTTGTATTTGTATATTGCATACTACTTTACATAAGATATAAACTTGGAGGAAGGAAGGAGAGCTAACCCTTACGAGGAAAAACAAAGTGCAAAAATGCAAAATAATCTTTATTTTCCAGAGTTTAAACCTAACAAGTAAAAAAATACTTGAAAATGTTATCAAAGGTAAGTTATTGAGTAAAAGATTTAATAAATCATATTATCATTGATATGTTCTACCATGATTCAAGAATAAGATATAAGGAATACATAATATCTAGGCACTAAGTGACATAATAATCTAAAATTTCTCATATTATACTTATTATAATAATATATGCAAAGATCAAAATTTCGTTTTGAAACAGTGGAAATATTCGAAATGTTTTTATTTTTAAGGAGATTGAAAAGAATCAGTGATGAAATCGAAATTATAATACTTTGAGATGTTTCATAATATTTCGAGATATTTTGTAATATTTCAATACATTTACATAATTATTTGAGAATATTTCAATATATTTTAATATATTATGACCAATGTTTTAAAAATTTAATTTTTTATAATTTATATTTTCTTATTATATTTTTAAAATGAATCGAAACATTTTCGAAATATGTTAAATTATTTTTATTTATTAAGCGATCGAAATAATTCACTGAATGAATATTTTGATACTCGAGTATATGTGATAATTATACAATTGGTATTGCATATCACCACCATGGTGTAAGGTGTGATGTCCTTTGGAAAGTTGAAAAATCATTGTTTTCCACGACGAAACTAAGAAGTCATTCCAATTCTCTCAAACCCCGCCTTGCCAATTTCCATTATTGTTTTCTACTCCAAGAAATAGTTAGATACACCTCGAACAAAACAAAACATAGCAGCACAACCACCATTTATGGCTTTCCCTCTCTTCTCTCTCCTCCTCTTATTTTCTCTCTCCCTCCAACAACCACTCTCTTCCAGTGCAAATCTCCACAGAACAACCCTCTTCAGAACAGAGCTCATCTCTGAGCCCAAACCGTTAATTAACACCCCACCCACTACCTACTTTGAAGTCACCAAACCCATCGAAGTCCCCAAAACCAAACCTTGCTCATACCACATCCTCCAGCATTACTTTGGCTACACATATGAAAAGCCACCAGTGCTTGCCAACTACACACCCCCATCAAATTGCGGATCACAAAACTTTGGGAAGATCGTCTTTGAATGGAAAGCAACATGTAAAGGTAGGCAATTTGACCGCATTTTTGGGGTTTGGCTCGGCGGTGTTGAGATTCTTAGAAGCTGCACGGCGGAGCCCAGAGCTACTGGAATTGTTTGGACTGTTCAAAAGGACATTACAAGGTATTATTCTTTGCTCATGACCCATCAAACACTTGCTGTTTATCTGGGTAATCTTATTGATAATACTTACACTGGAGTGTACCATGTAAACATCACTATTTACTTTTATCCTGTTGAAGAACATGGCAGTCATTACAAGCCAAATTTGGGGAATTTAGATTCTGGGTATGGTTCTGGGGCTGATCTGATCTTACCCATTTCAAGAAATTTGCCATTGAATGATGGGTTGTGGTTTAAAATCTTGAATTCCACTGATACAGAGTCAAAAGAGTTCAAAATCCCCCAAAATGCTTATAGGGCAGTGTTGGAGGTTTATGTTTCATTTCATGAAAATGATGAATTTTGGTATGGAAATTATCCTAATGAGTATATTGCGGCAAATAATCTTACTGGTGTGCTGGGGAACGGACCTTTTAGGGAGGTTGTGGTAAGTTTGGATGGTAGAGTAGTTGGTGCTGTTTGGCCTTTCACTGTGATCTATACTGGAGGGATCAATCCCCTCCTGTGGAGACCCATCACTGGAATTGGGTCATTTGATCTCCCTTCTTATGATATTGAGATTACCCCATTATTAGGAACTATGTTAGATGGAAAGACGCACAAAATTGGACTTAGTGTTGCAAATGCTTTGAATGTTTGGTACATAGACGCAAATTTGCATATTTGGTTGGACAGAAAGAGCGATAAAACAGAAGGACAGCTTTTGAGTCAAAGTATGTTGCCTCTTGTTGTTTCTTTGGTATCCAATTTTACAGGTCTGGATGGAAAATTTGTTACCAGTGTTAGTAGGACGTTATCGTCAACTGGATGGGTGAAGTCATCCCATGGTAAGATCACAACCAAGTCAACTCAAGAATTCAATTACAGTAACTTCATGGTGATGGAGAATGATGGAAATCTGCAGATTATTAATCAGGTGATTGATTACAATGATAGTGTCTATGCCACGACGCCATCTTCTTCTGTTCGCTCTATCAAATCATATAAACGGTTTTCCTTTTACATGCACTCAGATGATGTGGATCAAGGAAATGAAACTTATAGTTCGCTAATTAATCTAACATTGGGTTTTAACGAGAAAAAGATTGGGGCTTCTGATGATGGTTTATCGGTCAGCTCTCTAAAAAACTTGCAGAATGGGCAGGGGTATATGCTTGTCAAGGGTAACTTGGTAGTCAGTGGATTGGGGAGTACACAACAAACCTATCGCTATAATGGTGATAAATTCTGCTATTTTAGGAATGTAAGCAGCTCAAACTACACTATTCTTTACGATAAAATGAGCAACACTTGCGCCAAAAGAAAATGGTCTCATTCAGGTTTTGGGCTTGGCAAATGGTGGTTTTTTCCCACTCGAAGGCCTTTTCTGGCACCTGTTTTTCATGGCAATAAAGGAGGGATCTAAATTGTTCATTTGCAGTTAATTGTTCACTTGCCACATAAAAGGAACTCCCTTGTGGAGCATTGCGAAGGATTGTAATACGTAAAATAAGTATTTATTTGTGTCAGTCTTTTGATTGTGAGGACTATGTATCAATTTCAAGGTGATGTTATTAACTTTCTGGGTATTTGAATTCAAATATGATCTGCTGTTGTCTTCTGAGATGAGGTATTAAACCATATCTGCATTGCAGTTCATGCTTTTCACACTATATTTAACTTTTGTTCTCAGTGGAGCTTATTTCACCGACGCTAATAGCCTCTTGATTCATACTGTTTTATGCTTTGTGCCTCTTTCCACTATTTTAAGAAGTGAAAGTCAGTATTTCCATTGCTTGTGCCTTGTAGACCTTTGCATTTCCCCTCTGTTGATAGTTTTGCTTTCCATAGTATATTAATTTTTCTGCTGAAGCGCGAGTATATTTCATCTATTATCCTTCCTTTTTTAAAGACTAAATGTAATTTTCTTATTGCATCTTCATGATGGTTTCTTCCCTAAATAGTTGGGACTAAGGCTTCATTGAGTTGAGCATATTTTAGCAAGCTTTAATCTTCCTAGAGTGGCAGCTGCTTCTAGGGAAAGTCCACCGTAAGAGGATGTCTAGTCATTAGTTAACCTAAGACTGCAAGACTAAAGTCCAAATGCATGGGTATTGATAATTCATTTAACCCAGTCTTCTAAGAGATGTATGATTGCTAAAACTGATTTTTTTACTGTAGTTTCCTCATATGGAGTTTTGTGGTTAGCCGCTAAGCCGCCTTTTCAGTGCATCTTGAAATGGATGAATGGTCAGTCCTTACAACTGATTTTTTTACTGTAGTTTCCTCCTATGGAGTTTTGTGGTTAACTGCCTTTTCAGTGCATCTTGAAATGGATGAATGGTCAATCCCTAAGTCAAAAAGTTTTCGGCTTTTATCGAAATGATGGAACCCTCGCCTTGAGGTAATGTTTTTGATTGGCGTATGCATGGTTTTCGTCACCAGAAAGGCTAGAAACGAGTTAAGCAAGTTGCAGGTCTGTGCCAACCTTGTATTGGTGAACCAAAAGCAGAAGTTATCTCAAATGAGTTCAGTACAAGGCCACCGACACTGTTGGACTTGGGTTTAGTATATTTTAACCATATACTTTACTTGATCTTCTTCTCCAGAAGAGTTCCTATTGCTCATCCTGTTATTTATCTTTCCTTTCTGTTCGAATGAGTAGCAGCTATACACAACCACAGTTCATGCAAATCCCGAATGCCATAAGCGTTAAGCTTTCAATCTCTTAGACAGTTACCCTTTGTTTGGTTTGATGGAAAATAGAGATGAAGGAAAATGGAGAGGAAAGAATAACTTTCCACTGTTTGGTATTAAAAGAGATGGAAAAGCCATCCATCCCGCCCACCAAAAAAATCTGTCTAATTTTGGGCGGAAAGTTGACTGGAAAGTGGCAGCCTCCAATGGGAGAGATGTTAATTACTAATTTACCCCTTTTATGTTCCAAATGCTTTCAAACTTGAAAAGCTTGTGTTGTTGCTCACCTTGTCCATTTGGCGGGATAATATGCCACCTGCTCTTCAAGTGGACATATAATAGGTTTTTTTTTTTTTTATTAGCAATATTATTGAGATATTAAAATTTTAATTTGAAAATCTACTACCATGTTATTTAGAATTTTTATTGTAACTGCCAGCAATTAAACATTTTTGGGTTAAAAATCAATATTTAATTGAAATGCTCAAACTTATTCATAAGTTTATTGTGAGGGTACAATGGTAAATTAGTCTTTTATGTGTTTTCTTTCCTCTTATTTTTCCTCTGATACCAAACAATGAAAAATTCATCCTTCCAATTTTTCATCCATCGTATCAAACAAAAAGGAGAGAAAATATACTTTCTTTCTGTATGGATAAAAAGTTTATCCTTCCTATTTTTCATCTCTCCTACTAAACATACTTTTAGGCTTTTGCCCAAGGCGCTGGCAATGTCATGTGTGTCATTTTCAAATTCCATTGCTTTTAAATCGAAGAATGAAATTCTTCTGTTTCGCCAGGATGTTATTTGAGCTCCTCCGATGGCAAAGCTTACTCAAGTACCAGTTTGAGAACTGAAACCATGCTAGGAGTAAAAAGGACTAGCAAAGTTCCATATGTTTTACCACGACAAGAAGACATATCTGTGAATATATATTAGACATCCATATGTTTTGCTGACTAATTAAGGATCAGCACTTGTTGTACATTTTAGTACTATTTATTGCTTTAGGGCCATATTGCTGTACATATCACTTAAATTAGATTCACGAACTGAATTCTTACATTCAAAGACTTTGATGCATGTTCTCATTCGTCAATCCGATCTATTACCAACTCCTGGATTGGATCAAAATTAGATGGGTTGGAGATACTAACTGCTAAGTTCATTACTATAGCTTAATGAGTTGTACAATTTTATGCAGACAATTGACTGCAGGAATCAAGTTATTTCAGGGGGACCAATTTGATCTTCAATTTGATTTTCAGGCGACCCTCAATCTTATTTGACGGTGGAGCCGTGTTATCAGTCAAGGATATTACGTTTCTTGTATTGAAATTTTAGTGCACAGCCGGCACCAAATTTCATAGGGGGACAAAGGTTGCTCACAACCCTGCTCTATATACAAAAAGAATGAATAAGTTTTTGGCTACCTGATGGAAAGAAGGGTGGGCATTCAGAAACAGGGTCTTCTTCAACCAAGACAATCCGTCTCTGCAGAATCTGAAAACTGCTGTTTCGAATTCGTATGCAGAGTTCATCAGTGAGAACAAATTACAAAGAAAATCTTGATACACCATCAAAAAAAAAGGCCAATTAAGCAATTTTAACCACTGGTACCTTCCGGTTGCAGATGAGATCAAGATGAATTTTAATGTTGCAGCGCGTCAAAGTCCAATATCCTATGGATGGTTTTGTAGCCAGATAATTGTAGTGCAGAAAATCCATAGTGATGCCCCAGAGGAGAAGAAACTCAAAGGGGATAGTCTGTTGTAAATGTTGAAGAAGATTCACAAAAACTGATAGTATTTGCTGGGACTTCGTTTGATCTACCATGGAGGATTGCTCCTTTTATTGAAGATGTGAGAACGATGAAGTAATGTTTCTAAACAAAGCTTTGAGTGTCATCTTGTTGCAATGGTAAAATTGTTCTATTATGACTTGAACGTCAAGAGTTTGAGTCATAAAAATAATTTTTTTCAAATCTTAGAAAGTCTCACGTATTGAACTGTCTTTTTTTCTTGACTCGAGATTTGTGAAACTTCCTATTTCCAAGATCAATCAATAAAACTCGTCATGAAATGGTGGAATGGGCTAGCAGGCTCAGATTTTTTGGTTAATTGCCTCCAGTAAATGTTGCTGTTCTGGTTCAGAGGGCAGCAACCAAAGATTGGCCGGCTTTCTAGTAAATTATTGTTCCACTAGTGGTTTAGCATATGTTTCTTTATCCTCGTCTAGTTTAGCTTTATGCTTACTAGGAGTGTTCATCTTCCCTTACGGGTAGAAATTATGGTATTTGAAAGAATTTTTTCTTAACTTATCCTAACCGATCAAGTATATTATTCCTAATCGAATTTTGTTCAAAATGGTGAACATATATTTTTTAGTTATTAATTTTTAGATCATTTTAACAATTTAATTAAGTAACATACATCAATTAACTAACACAATAAACTAATAACACTAAAGAAAACACAATAAATTTAATAATACATAAACAATTTTAATAACACACAACAAAAAAGCCATAAATATCAACACATCATATATAAGAAATCATAAAAATTAATAAAAGATTAGGGTTTCAAGATTTTTGAATTTTAATTTTTAGGGATTAATACACACACGTGTGTGTGTGTGTGGGTACGATAGAGTAAAAATACGAAAATTTTGTATGTATTCCGCATTCCTACTCGATTTTTTTGTGGAATACCAAAAAAATTTCTATTAGCCAACTCAATTCTTTAGGGTAGTTGATCAATAGAATCAAGTAGAATAAGGTAGGGTCAGAATTTGTGGGTAATAGGAAATTTGAACATCCCTAAACCTCGGTACCGTTTGTAATTCTTGTTTTTAAGCTGATCTTTGTTTTTGCATGCTTATATATTTTTTTTATTATTTTTTTCTGGATTTACTTATATTTTCCAAGATTAATCACATTTTCAATTCTTTTTGTATAAATTTACTTATGTTTTCCAAGTTTAGAATGATATATTTGGTTAAACTATTGTCACAAATTTTTTTTTGAACTAGAACTATTGTCCCAACTTGAAAGAGGTGAAAAATGCTAATGATCGGTGAGTTATAAAGTATAAATTTGTAATTAATGTGCTAAGATTCATGTTGATGAGTCTTGTTACCAAGTGACCCAATATTTTTTCACTTTTATGACGAGATAACTTTTTGTTCAAATTTTTTTTTTAAATATGGATTACTGTAATACCCCAAAATCCATTATGGAAGACATCACTATCTATACAATATTCAACCATGAGACTATCTAAGATAATCATTGAATAATGAAAATTATTCCAAATTTAAAGTCTAACTAGATAAATTTCTAAGAAAAACATAAATAAATCTTTAGGTTCACATCCAAAACTAAAGTAATAGTCTTTCAACTAACTAAATAATAAATATTCATAAAAATGTCTCATAACCAAATCTCATTAAATCAAACTAGACAAAAGCAACTTTGAGCCTCCAAATTTGGATTCACTTCCTCATTTAGTTCAGCATCAAAATTAACGTGCTCATCTAGTGTAATATCCACTTCAAATCCATAATCTAAAAAATGTTGTCGTGCGATGAGCACAAAGTCCAATAGAAAAACCCTTTCAAACTCAAGCAATGTTTAAAAATCATAAAAACAGGCTCAGTTATAAAATGACAAATATAATTTTGAGATAAAACAATAACATTTATCAACGATCTGGAGTTTAGGTTATA